TAAAACCATCGTCCAAGTTATATTATTATGTCTTGTTCTCGTGACTGACGCCAGCCAGGGATCAAAATTGTCATTCAGCTTTTGTAACTTTAGATTTAACTCAGTCAATTTATAGTCGGAATATTGATTTGTGTTGTCTAAAATGAAAACGAATATTTCCCTTTCTTAAAACTACGCTCTGTGAAATTACTCAATTGTGTTTTTATGCATTATAAGTACGATACATTTAAAGATTAGTATAAACTGCTAAAATACTTTAATTTATATTTACTACAGTCTATGTGAATTAATCAGTAATCTCTCAAATGACCTCTTTTCTCATTTGAATAAAACAGCCTTATTAAAATGGAGAGTACTCTTGGTTCTAATATCAGTTTTCAAGATACTAGTTTACCTCACAGTTTCAAATTAAATTGTTATCACTAATATATATACAAATCCTGGGACACTTCAGTGAACATTAAATTTATCAGTTGACATCTAGTCCTGTAAGCTTGAATAGTTCATGATATCAAATAAATATTGATATGAATAAACACTTCTATCATACTTGTAATTATACATCAGTCAGTCAGTCAGTCAGCTACAACGTAGGACCAGGCATATATGTGCATCGGTCCAGGTTGCCATACCGCATCAGCACAACAAGATGAACACCGGATTCATAGCAGTGGTTAGGTCAAAGGTAGTAATATGTAAGAGAAAGATTGCATATAGAGATATAGTACAAGAAGAAAGAATTGGTTCGTAGAAAGAAAGATATGAAGCGATTTTAATCTCTTAGTTTAAGGGAAGACAGGGAGTGTATACACCGACGCCATTGTGATCGATTCTGAGCCATGTCACCAAGAGTCTCCAACCATTGGTTACGATAGTCACGCGGACCTCAACCAAGTAGTCTTCATCTACCAACATGGCTCAGACTAGAAGTTAGTGACTTCAAGCACTGATGCCACGTTTTAGTTTGGCCGCCCCTAACTTTCTTCCAACCATCTCCAATACCGGATAGCATCGCACGTCGTGGTAATCTGTGTTCAGGCATACGTAATACGTGGCCCAACCATCTCAGTCGATGAAGATTCATAACCTCATCAACTGATTTACCATCATTCCCTAATACCCTGCGTCTAACCTCACTATTACTTACCCGGTGATTCCAGCAGATGCCAGCAATATTTCTAAGGCATCTGTGGTCAAATACTAGTAGCTTACGGGTGTCTTCTACTCTTAAGGGCCATGTCTCGCTGCCGTAAATTAAAACAGAACGAACTGCCGCGCAGTATACTCGTCCTTTTATTGATAGACGGATATCTCGCCTCCGCCAAAGGTGACGTAAGTTGGCAAAAGCCAAACGAGCTTTTCGAATCCGTGCTGAGATTTCGTCAGACACCAACCCATTAGGGCTGATCAGACTTCCAAGATAAGTGAAGTTGTCAACGCGTTCGACCACTTCACTCCCTATCCTTAGTTCAGGTGTTAACGCAGACCAGTCCTGAAGATTGTGACTAGTCAGATGGGATAACGTCTAACTCCCAGATTTTAGCTAAAATATTAGTCAACCTAATCGCTAAAATTGGACCACCATCCTTAAAGACCTCTGGAGCCAATCCATCTGGACCAGCTGCCCTTCCTCGTTTTAGATTAACTATAGCCTTTTGGACTTCAGCAAGAGTTGGGGGACCTACTTCAATGTTCCATTCACACTGTCTGGGAATGGAGGGTAGTTGTAGAGTAGCTGAAGGCCAGCTAAACTGTTCTCTGAAATGTTCCGCCCATCGTTCTAAACGCCTGGACTGGGAGCAGATGAGTGTATCGTCTTTTTCCGATATAATCTCACTTACACTTGACTTATGAATTCCAGTTTCTTTTATAAGTCTGTAAAGCTGTCTTGTGTTCCCTATAGTCGCCGCCTTTTCCATCTCTTTTGCTTTCGTTGCCCACCACTGCTCACGGTCGTTTCTTAGACTTTTTCTTAACCTAGATCTGATTTGTTGTCGCTCTTCATCATGTTCGGAACCTGATGGGACGAGTTTGCGAGAATCCATCAGTGTGATAGACTTTGAAGAAATCCACTGGTTCTTTGAAACTCTGTGGTTTAAGTCGCTAATAGATGTCACTGCTGCTTCCACAGCTGCTTGTATATCTTTCCAAGCAACATCTGGGTCAGCCTCGTCTTCAGAACTACCTAATCGTGACCTCAGTTGTTCCTGGAACCTACTTTTGGTTTCCTCGCTACTCAGTTCGGTTCTAATGGGTCTTTTTACTGTGGCTTTTTTGCGTCCAGTGAGGCGCAAGCAGATGCGTGCCCGTATTAGGGCGTGGTCGGAGTCGATTTCTTGTCAATAATGTGACGATATTTTCTTTGTTTGGTCCACTCTCTGAACCTTTTTAGATAAGCTCGTCTTTATTCATTTTACATTAAACATGTTTATAGAATTATCGACCATACATTAAATGGAATTTGGAATATCGTACAATTTATTATCTGCATGTAAATTAGTGATCGTCAGAACATTTGAAATTTTGCTCGAAGTTGTATTGGTATAAAGATTTTTTGAAAGCTTAAATTGCGATATTATCACTAATTCGTTGAGCTGCTTAAATAATACCAATGATCCCAGTTTTAGAAACTGTTTCCTCAATAGTATAGATCTATCTTGTCAGCGTATACGAGACGATAAAGAACATTGAACAATAGAAACCCAATAAAAAATTTACAAGCTTTTGTCTGAAATCAAATCTAAAGTATATTGGCTTACATATAATAACAAATAGTATATTGATTGTCATTAACGTATAAGTTACAAGTACTTCGAGTTGGATCTATCTTTAAACTTCTGAATCTTTACATTGTAATTAAATGAGAATGAATAGAAAACTTTTGTGGCATTCATCTAGAAATTTTGTTTTCTAATCAATCTACTTGCAAGCTTTATTTTATATTGTGTGAAAACTTAAACATTGGAATGCGCTTACGACTACCGTTCAATAAACTGTTCATACAAGCGCCCAAACTGCTTTCACTCAACTCACTGAATAAATTAAATCTAAGTAAATTGTATTTCGAGCCATTTTTCAATTTTCATTAAATCCGTTGGAATGTAAAACAGATTTTCCGAAAAAATTTTTCAGTTAATTAAAACGTTTAAAATACCATGGAGAGATTCTATAATTTTCTATTTGCATTCATTTATAACTCTTGGTTTTTTAAGAAAAAACACGTCTTGTTTTGTTTACTGTGCGAAAAACGACTAATGATCTGGCTTTTCCTGATGATTTTTAAGCTAAAATAGAGTATTGTTGTTGTGCTTCTTTGTTGTTATTTGAAATGTAACTATGGTAACCCATAAGCTTTATAGAAATAGGTAAATAAATAAATTTTATACCAGTTAACGTTAGGATAGTGAATGCAGATCCACAAAAGTACAAATTATATATATATATATATATATATATATATATATATATATATATATATATATATATATATAATTCAATAGAAGCTAGAACACCATGGAAAACCTGGAATCACTAAACGGCCGTTCCGTCCTAGTATGGAACTCCACAGCAGTGCGCATCCATAATCCCGCCCCCCGCGAGATTCCAACCAATCCAACTGGTTAAAGTTAGACATTAACACCGTTGGATGCCGGCCAGCTCAGTGATCTAAAGGTTAAGCGCTTGTGTGCGACACTGATAGGTCCTGGATTCGAATCTCGTGAGGCGGGATCGTGGATGCGCACTGCTGTGGAGTTCCATACTAGGACGAAACGGCCATTTAGTGCTTTCAGGTTTTTCATGGTGTTCTAGCTTCAAGTGACTCATGATTTCAACTATTGAAATTACTAAAATCTTCGTAAAGCCCCTTCTGATATATCTATATATTTATTGAAACCTCATTTTGATGGTAAAATATATTTCCATATTCAGTATAACAGTGGATTCGCTGAAAGTTATTTGCTGGTAGAACAGATTCCCTTGATAGTTATCATTTAATGTGAAAAAGTCACAAAACTAACAAGAGTTTGAGGTCAACGCAATTCAAAGACCCTTCAAAGTAAATAAGATAAAATGTTTGAGAGTTAAATGAAGCTGCCATTCGTAACAGGATGTATTAAGATTTTTTAAAACAATCGTGTATTGAAAATTTTAAGTAATACGGATATATTAGAAATATACTTTATTAAAGTTGTCATCACTTCCTTTCAGGGGCAGCTCTTTGTAAAGCTGTACAAAAAATTACGTAATAAAGGTCTGTTAAATCATGACAGTGTAATTTTTATTGCATGTACATACACTGAAAGGTAAAACACCAGTTGTTCGTAGTTATTATTTTACTTTAAATCGATTTAATAAACCTGTTGTCCCGTATACCCGTACGAATAAACTCTTGTATGAAACTAAGTCACAAAAAGTAGATACAAATCGAGATCATAAAATGCAAACGTCGTAAATCAATACAATCGCATAAATGCTTACTATTCACTTCACTTAGGCCTACTATCCCTCATGGTTTCGTCATGCATGACTTTCGTCAGCACAGTGTATTCGTAATCTTGATGGATAGGATTAAACCAGCCCTAAGGACTAGAGAAATATGAGATTGGCTACTATTCAGTGATCAGTCAAAATAAATATCTCAATTCTACAAGAAACCCATCCACGGAAGGTTACAATTAGCAATCAAAACTCCATATGGAGAACCCTTTTCCATGAATTTGTCAGCATTTCCAACAAGGAAATTCTCAGTTAAGCTTTGGTCTTTCATGTAATACCGTAAATACCGTTTCCATGCATATTCAAACTCATTACACTAATTTCACCTACATAAGCTAAATCAGCTGAGTTTATTCGACTGTATCATCATACGAATAAAATGTGTTATATCCGAATATTTCTGTTTATGTAGTGGGCAAATGAAGTATACTAATTAAATTTCAAATAGTATTTTCATTTCATACGATTCTTTCTATGATAATTGTTTTTTATTTCATAAAAAGTGTCTACATTAGGTGCTTTGTATATAACACAATTATTGGGGATTGAAATGACAGCAACACCAGCAAAATCACAAAACAAGTGACATAAAAGGATCGACATCATCCATGATGGCCTACATGGACGGTAAAAATGAGAAATCTCATCCATCAACTTACGAATCAGTTCGGTCGCTCAGATTTATGGAGGCCTTTCCACAATTTACAGGCAGAAGACCTAAATGAATTTATCACGCATATTCAAATTTCTAAATGGGTCTAAACATAACAATTACTAAATAATATTTATTATTTCTTTTACTTTTACAAAGGATCAGTTAAAACAAACTAATATAGCAAAAACAATAAACATTTTGATAACCCATTATGTGTGTGTGGCTGTATGTAAACGAATTATACAAATTAATCACAGCATAACATAGACAATGTCGTTTTTATAACAAAACAACAAGTAATGATAGATAAGTATCAATCAAATCATAATTGAATATAAACATAAGTTAGATATGTTGAAAATAAGTCGAAGACAAGTCAAGTAAACAAGTAAATTAAATAAGGCACATTATTGTATTTAAATAATATTTATCCTATGATTAAATTATTTTTTAACCGTTTTCCTATAAATATATTCACGAATACATGTATTCATATGCAACATTTGAAAATAGATTAACAAAGAATAAACGTTTAGCATTCACTGTTGCATAATCACAGAAGCTTGAACTAAAAATTAAGAAATAATGATAACGGTAAAAATAAAATGGGGTAAAATGTAATTACTGTTTAAATAATCAATTACATTAAATGGAATTAGAATTTTCAAGTGTAAATAAGTTCTGATGAGAAAATACTATTTGAAAGACAAATATTTATTTTCTTAGAAAAAGAAATCCCTGTACATACAGAAAAGTAGACAAATATGACGTACAAGTACATTCAAGATCATCACTCATACATATAGATACAGACACACAATTATACATAAAACAAACACAATTTATGAAACCACATAAATAAATAACGGAATTAAGTGAACTAGATTCTATTTCATTCCAAGATAAGTCAATTAATAAGAACAATGTATGTGGAATAAAAACCAACGAAATAAGGAAAGAGCAGAGCAATTTATTGAGCTGAAATACATTTATGAAATATCATCATTACTCACATCAATACCATTGGTCATCGCAGACGTAAGTATTAGGATAAAAAATAATCTCGTTTCCAAAATGTGGTTAAATGATTTTCTATCAGTTATATCTATTATTTTTCTTTTTAAACAATCAGCAAGAAAAACGGTACACATCTAAAACCATCTATTATTGAACACGCTGTTGATTTTGTTTTAATTGGTGTAGACTTGGTGCTTGTGTTCGCGCACCGTATTTTTCCGGTTTCGCTAATGAATCTAAATCAATACTTAATGATCCTAACTCTTTCCATGTATTGCCAATGTTTAGCGGTTTAGATTTGGATGGTGAAATTGGATTGGATTGAACCACGTGTTGTTTGAATTCCTCAGCTTGCATGTTTTGATGAGACTAGTTAATAAGTCAAAGAAAAAAAGCACAGTGAAAGGTAAATTATAAACACTCAGATAAGGGAAAAGATTACTATTGACTAATTTGTGGCGATTTGATTAGTATGAATAGGGACAAACAGCGTTAAAAATCAATGTCTACATACCCCTATGACGAATAGTTGAGTGATCTGGTAAAAATAAACAGTATAACAAACATGTGCATTAGTTCACGTCGCCGCATCATATCGGAATAGATTTCACAGTATTACAATTAGTAATAGTGTCAGTCCTAGTAGTAGATAAGATTAAGGACAGAGGATATGATTAGAAAACACATAAATCAATGGAACAGAAAAAAACTTAAAATACTCAAGAAACTTAGGATATAAGGGAACACATCTTTAACAATAAAAATATTCTGAGTTGTGTCACTTAGAGTCTCTAACCACTACATACGATAAGCACATGGACCAAAACAAGGTACTCTGTGCACTCAAAAGACAGAATTACTCTATTAACTGCTAGCTAACAGAATCAGTCAGTCAGTAACAACGTAGAACTACGTACGTACGTACATCAGTTCGAGTCGCCACACCACATTAGCACAGAGATGCAGTGGTCGATCCAAATCCCGTAGTGGTAGAGGTAATAAGCGTATAAGCAGTAATCGGGAAGATTAGTGTTTGGAGATGTTATTTAAAGAGTATAATACAGTGAAGTAAATTTGAGAGGAGAAAAAAAGGAGACAAGGAGGAATAAGGAGATCAAAATTTGGGAGAACACAAAGAGTGGATGCACCTGCGCCATTGCAAACGATTTTGAGCAATGTCATTCAGGGTCTCTAACCATCGGTTGCTATCATCTCGCGGTCCCCAACCAGGTAGTTTACACCTACCGACATGACTCAGACCACTTGTCAGTGACTTCATGGACTTGTGCCATGTTTTGGTCTGGCCGCCCCTAGCTTCCATCCTACTCGATAGAAGACTGTCGCTCACTCTGGAGCACATGCTTAGGTTCAGCTAACAGAATAGAAAGGTGTCAGGCAATCACGAAAGTTAATTAATTTATAAAGTCGCTTCTTAATAATGTATTTGCTCAAATCCTATTCACTTCAATAAGTATTAAGCTGGAGACAGTTAAAGCTATCTTAAATGAAAACCAGAGTACATGAATGTGTCTGGTATTGAAAACATGATGGAAGTCGATAAGTAGTGAATTCGAATAAGTCCTATCAGAAAGAATGTTAGCAGATGACAGTCCTCAAAAGCTACTTCATAAGTGCTGTATAACTAACAGTTCATCCAAACTAATTATTATTGCGAGAAATTACAAAGTCCTCATATAACACAAATACACAGCCTTCGATCATCCATCTTCATCTTGCCGTGTGTTCCGCATTCCGGACTGCCTTCTCGTCTAGTCTTCAAATGTTCTACCTACGCTGCGCTCCTGATGTACTAAAACTCGTTCCTCTGTTTGACGACTGTAACAGCTTCGATGCCGCATCCCGCAGCATACTACTTATAAGCAACCTTGTGAGTAGCGCCCACTACAATACTAGTACTGCCGCCATCTGTGGACCAGAAAATTGAAGAAGTGCCTCTGAAATAAAAACCTTCGCTTACACGATAAATAGCCTTTACCTGATAAACAGAAAATGGGGATTGATGATTAGTTAGACAAATTCAAAAACTTCTGATACATAACTGACCCTTTGAATCAGGAAAGAGTATCACAGTACAAAAACGTTGAATAAAAAAACACAGGAACTACTTGAATAATTCGAGCTTCAGTAAGTAAGTTTGATAACTGTCTAGTGATGTTTCATGTCAAAAGCTATGTAATGAATAACAATAAATACCATGGGCCAAATATTAATGGTAATGAACTGTTAATTTTTAAAATCTTTACCAGGAGGAAATCTGTTACGATACACTTCTAAAATTAAATAATCCGGTTACATCTACTTTTGCTTTTTGAAAAAATTTATAAATTACTATCATATCCTACAAACATTAACACTACTGGTATTAAGATTAGAAACAGTACATATGAACACTGAGGAGATGTTCCCGTGTTTATGGACGAATCACAGCTCTGAATCAGATACAAATATGATTTGGGACAGAGTAAACAACTGATACAACGTTCTGACCATTTAAAGAAACTAAATGAAAAAAATACATAGTCACAGTGTATTTATGTAATAGTTCTTCCTTTGGTTTCAAAGTGTGTAATTGAAATCTCATAAATACCTCATCTTTAGAAAAAATAGACAAAAGTTAAATACACAATCAGATATCGCACATACTTCTGGAGATCAAGCAATTGTTCCGATCCCTTTTACACACAATCCAACATTATTTGACAATGACAACTTACATTTTGATTGGATGGATAAGCCTCAGTATTTGAAAAGTTGGAAAAAAAGATACCATCGAGGGATGAAACTGTTGGACCAGTATTCGCAGGAAACTGTACAGATGGTGCTGAAGTGAAATCACCAAACTCATTATCTAACAAACTGGGATACATTTTTTTGAAAAATAAGAAATGGAGAGAAATCTAAACAGAGTATATCACTAGAAGAAACTGCAAATATTATTTAAGAACAATCTAAATTACCTCCTTTGCCCAAAAATGAGCTGAGAAAACTATTACAACTTTGCTCGTTTCCAATTCAACATTTATCTAAACTTCGCAAACTACGGTATGCTAAACATTTGTTACTAATTATATTTACTATAAGCAGAGATGGATGGTGGCTAGCGGTGGAATCCACGACGAAACGCGCGTCCTGGACTTCACTGTTAACAACCATCCATCTCTTGTTATAATGCTTGTGATTAAAGGTAATGTCGAGGTGATCCGTACAGGATGCCCATTTGCCAATAAGTGACTGATCAATTGCAGTCCTAAACATCAATGGGAAGATCCAAATGACCAAAACAAAAATGAATTAAAATCATATTTATATTACTATTTGTAACTTCACGTTGTATGCGGACGATGAGAAACCGTGAAATAAAATGAATTCATTTTATTCACCAAACCTTGTCTTTGTTATATTCAAATTTATCAAGGAAGCTAAAATAACCAAAGCAATTATGAGATAAATTAAAAATGTATAGTAACGCTTAGCATTCAACATATAATCAATATTATTAAATTTACTTATCAGGGTTTTGACATGGTGCAGTAGCATGATTTTGAATTGAATTAGTATTTAAAGATACGCCTGATGGTGTTAATACATCCCTAGGCCAATTAATTTCGAATCCCATTTGCGCTGGCTGTTGCCGCTGAGAGTGTACATCAGTTGTAGTTGATGTTGGTGAACTGCATATTGCATCAAACAGATCTATCATTTGATCTGATTTAATGATACTATTACCACTATCAAATGAATCTAACAAATCACAGGATGGTGGTCTTGGCTTTATGTTGTCTTTCTTTTCAGTACTCTGGTCGCAAAAATAGAAAAAGGAAATTAATCAAAAATATTTGTAGCTGTTAAGAAAAAATGAGCACTTACTTATGATTAATTTTATTGATAGTGTTAGCAATTAAAAAGGTTATGTCAAACACTTTTATTACGATTATTTAATCATCTGAACTACATGTTGAAAAACATAGGAAGCATAATACTCGAACTTCTTTTAAACGTATTGATTCTTGATTTGGTTTGAACATCGGCAATATCCTATTATCTTAATTGTAGGTATCATTACCAAGGTATGACATGATTTGTTCGAGTAAGTTGAGCATTAGGTAGATTGTTATAAATAAATAATAATATATTTGTAATAACCCAATGAGTAGAAAAACTAGATTTTCTGACGTTTCGTGACTTAATGTAAATCACTTCTTCAAAGAATAAATAACCAAACTAGAATTAATCCAAGTTTAAATAGTACAACGGAACAACAAGAATATTATGTGAACAATCAAAAAACAGATCTGAATAATTGTAATTTTCGTGAAGATTTTCCTTTGCAATTCTTATATTCTCAACATTTTTACTGTATGTTTGTTTTAAACTAAGGATACCCAATAATCAATTACTTAGAAGCACCATTCATAGATGAAGTTATCAGGTGAAAGATACTGGTACTACCTTACGTGCACTAAGCCAGCCTGATATCAATAAGGAATGATAATAGCCGAAGTATGAAAGAGGATTAAAAGAGTCAAGGATTCACACACTAAAACGTCAAAACCAGTTACAGAAGTGTTACAGATAGCAATAAAAATTAAGACTAATTCACTACATATGACAAGTGGTATGATGACTAACGATTAATACTGGACTCAATCAGAAAATTCAATAATTAGTAGCATGCTTTATTATAATCTTCAGTCAGTCAGTAACAACGCAGAACTTCGTACGTACGTACATCAGTTCGAGTTGCCATACCACACTAGCACAGAGATGCAGTTGTCGATTCAAATCCCATAGTGGTAGAGGTGGTAAGAGTATAAGCAGTAGTCGGAAATATTAGGGTTTGAAGATGTTATTCAAGGAGTATAATCCAGTGAAATAAATTTGGAAAGAGAAGAAAAAAAGGAACATGAAGAATTCAGGAGATTAGAATTTGAGAGAAAACAAAGAGTGGTTATTATAATCTTACAAAAACTTGTGTACACTCCAGATATCATATAATGCAGGTGATGGTGAAGAGTCATACTTTGATCAATCCAGCTTTACACAAACTCACTGACTGACACAGACAGCTAAAATTATTTACTTAACCTACATACTGTCAACTTTGTGATGAATAAACAAACACAGTGTTCTGTGAAGATTTATTGGTAAAATATTTTATATATGTCAATTTTTAACATTTTCATACGGATATTTCTATAAATTTAATATTTGTGCACAATCATATGAAAACTACATTTTTTGATCATCTAAATTAGGAGATAATTAAGAAAAATAAATGGCCAATAACTTATTCGTGAGTGTTACTAGCACCTTTTATCATGAAGAAACACACTAAGAGATAACAATCACGTATAGACAAATCTAAAGTGTAAATACAGTATATGAAAAAGCAGATAAATTAAAAACTGGAAATTGTAAGTATGCGTCATTCACAAAAAAACTTTGTACACAGTCACACACACACACACGCATAAACAGAAAAGAAAAATAAACAAAATTTAATATAAAACACTGAATACTATGAAAGAACTAACATAGTTGACAAATATCGACCACCGAACGAATGAAATAATCAATACAGGATTATTATTTTTCGTTGTTGTTGTTATTATTATTATTATTACAATCAGTTCTGACTAGTAGCAACACGAAAAAAACAGCAATGTGACAGAACAATAACAGTCTGAATACAAAAGTGGAAAAAATGGTAGACATCACATTCGAGTTAATTAGTTAACAGAAGTTCTGTATCATTGAGCAAAGGTATTCAGACAGTCACGTCAACGATACGCCGTAGCTAATAAAATACGGATTTAAGGATAAAATCTTGAGATGGTGGAGAATCTCGCTTAAGTGAACTTCGCTTAAAGCAATAATATTTTATTGAACTTCATCGTAATCATGGTTACTACACGTGTAGTGAACGAGAACACAAATGGGGACAATCGAATGTATTTGAACACAAAGTTACAGAAACTCTTAGTAAAATCTGTGTACCACACAGTAAACACTTCATTTGCAAAATATCCATCAACCGTCTCAGACTTCATTGTTTCTTTTCTACACCAATTTTTTTTGTTCCCGTTCTCTTTTCTTCGGTCTTCTTAACCTTCTGCCGCCAGATATTTCACTTTCGACTGACGATACATACTGTCGACATCAGTAGCACACACCACACACGCTCTCTGATATCAAATGGAAATGACTGCGACCAACAACTGGAAGAAAACCTATGTTAGGATGACAATGATATTTCCCTTATATAATACCATAGCAAAGAATTCTCAACTCTAGTTATTCAATATTGCATCCAATTTCTTTCTTACATCCACTCGAATTGTAATTATTCAGAGATATATCTAATAAAAAGTGCTTAAATAGTCAAAATCTTTTATCTTATCTTCAATTGTGAAAACTTTCTACCAATTTAGCTGATACAACCACTTTTCCCATCCATCATAAATATGATGCATGAATTTCAAAGTATAAACTAGGAAGGAAATATGTCATGAACTGTGGTATCTTCATTTGAGCTTTCTATTAAATAGCATCATCGTAAGTAACAAGCTTTTCGTAAAAGTGTGTGGGTGTATACGGTTATTATACATAATTAAAATCAGTCCAAACAAATCTAAAGCAAGAAAGTTTATTGTTACATTGCAACAGTTGAAAAATAAGTAGCTAAAATGATTGAGTGGGCTTCAAACTGTCTATCGAGAAACGTAATAACCAACGGCACAAATTCAGAAGATGGAAAACGGTAGTCGGTATATTTTTACCGACCCTCATTTAGATTCTCCTTCTTCACTACGATATTATTTTAGAAGTCAACAATGAACACAAAGACTGTTGTATATACACATATTAAAAACTTAGGTAAGATAACATACTTGATTTCTAGGTGTCACAATAACTTGGCGCAGAGATTTTTCATTAGATTGTGATGCATGTGTGTCGCCATTATTATTATTATTAACTCGACTATCAACACTATTACATTTAGTGGATCTTGAAATTTTTTTCGATGAAAATTCATTCTGTGCATAATAATCCCCATAGGATGACTGGGTTTTCGCTTCATATGTTCCACTGGATTCAACAGCATTTGATGGGAACTCGTAAACTTCTTCAGAAACCATACGTGGATTGAACTCACTTTGGAGGTTATTTTAAAAAAATACGTAAATGAAATGCATAAAACTGTTATTTATTGTAAACGACAATTGTGTTTTAGTTATAAAAATATCTATTTGTACAAATAACTAAACTGGGATTGAGAGTGAATAAAAAGGAAACAGTTTCCTTATAAACCAGTTGAATTGTTAGTCATGAAAATAGCTAATTAAATAACATGCAAATGATATAAGAACGTAACGACTAACGAATTACAACATGAACAATGAAGTATCTATAAAAATTTCTGGATGTTGACGCATTGGCGTACACACAAACACAAACATACCCGCCGGAAATAAGAACCTTATAAATCCCATAAGAAAGACGATAACAGTTGTTAAATTGTATGCTAATTAAGGGAAAAGTCACTGAGTAGTGACAAACAAAAGAAATATTATGATTCTGTATGGCAGGTCATTATTAAGTAAAATAAATAGGTAGAACAATGCTCTTGACCGACAAAGAGTGCATTTGCAGTTTATTATTGTTTATCGTAATTTTTAAAATAAATATTTAGCTTAATAGTGAACAAAATGTCCCACTAATAATCATACTCGACAGTCAGCTTGTTTTTATTGTGTTAGGTTAACCATCCTCCTTTCAATATCCAACAAAAGTGTGATGTAAAGCATTATCGAGCACTTTATCATTCATTTAGTGGGTGAGGACTGAATATAAAAGCATGATTCTCAATGGAAATTTCACTTCAGTCATCTAAAGCTATACATACATGTCTTCTTAAATAGACCACTATAGCGCATCTTAATTTGAGGGATGAAAAAAAGTAAGTCAAATTCAAAGCTTCAAATGAAATCCTCAGTAGTAATTATGCTCTTATACCGACTGTGTGAACGTAAAAATGTCCGAAAATGTTTGATACAACATACACAGTGAACATTGAAAAACAGATACGCTGCAAATTTCGGGGATATATGCTATCTTTTTTTTCTTTACACGCTACTGACTGACTTAGCAAATCAATGATAGAACGTGACTTTTGAGAAACAAACAAGCTTCTTGAGCAGCCACACTTTTTTGAATAATTTCAAATTATCTCAAATCTGTTTACACATTAAGCAATGGATGTATACAATTATTAATATACTATTATGAAAAGTTAATCAAAGGTTAATTAGTCTCTGACAAATAGAGAATATGATAATAAAGAGAATCGGTTATGAAATGCCAAGTTATATCATGTTCTTAATATTCGACACTGACCGGCAGTGATAAATTACATAACTCAGTATAATAAAATGCTCATCAATATCAACGTCGAGTCGAAAAGTGATGCATTTTTAAAGTTAAATTTGCTTGAAATATTACAGTAATACGTTTTAACGAACTTTAAGAAGTATTAAACCTATATCATGAAGTTCCTAATTATTGTCCGTAACCAATATGGTTAAGTTCTAATCAGCTTGTACAAGAGATTTTTTAACAGTACTAGAAAAAACTGCATATGCTAACATACTGTTATTTTCATGAAATATGTACTTGTAGGAGAGCTAAGAAAAAGAAAAATCATCGAAATTACGATTACACCAAACTATTAAAACAAATGAAATTAATATGACACTAATCATGTAGTCCCTGACAACTCTAACATTTCTACTCAATTTTTCATAGAGAAAAAATATAAATTAAGTAATATACAGTGTAAAGACCTTACTCGGTTTTGTTACTTAATCTTGTCACTAATAAGCAACTTATTTAGCTTGTGCCGATTAAACCTTTCACTCATATAAATTACTTGCAGCTACGATGGATTTTCATTTAAAAATCTCAATTTATGGATTACAGAGTTTAGACAATAATTAGGTGTAAGTACTCAAACTATATCAATCAATCAATGAACAAAGAACTTATATGTATTTGAGTTATACGCCGATATTTTTCTTCAAACTTTTGTTTTCATTATCAGGTGTCGATATGAGATCATGTAAAAAAAACTTGCCCCAGTAAATGAAAAACATTCAGCTACATAAGCAAAAACAAGCCACTTAAAAGCGATAATTAACATGTATGCAATTTTTGATTTAAAAAAGATTTGTTTTAATATCACTATTCTTTTTATAGTAAGCAAAAAATAACTTTTTTTACCAAAACTACATCATTAGAATGTGACAAATGTATACAAGCTTAAAGAGAATCCACACATAAAAACCAAGCTTGATTAAGTTATTCTAATGAATTTTCAAAGACAGTTATATCTTGCAAAAGTAGTTTAAGTATCCTAGCGTTATTAGATTCTTTACTTATTAATAAGACAACCACAATGATCAAAACAATGTGCTTATGCCAAGGATTAACAGAGAGAGTGAAAGAGAGGGGAGATGAATGGAACATTATGAAGTCTATCAAACGTAAGTTAAATTATCAGCAATCACAAGTTATTCTTTGATGAATCAAGGTACATATATGGTTGTTAATATAACGAATAATGCGACAGATTGTTAGTTATTGATTTAAATTTGTTGAAATTAGACAATAATTAACTAAACGCCTTGTAGGCTACCGATTGTTTGCATGATGATTAAACTAGATGAAGCTGTGAATCTATGTGAGTAGCAAGCTACTCATTTTTCTCCATAATACATGTTTGAAAGATAAATATGTTGATGATTATGAAATGATAGATCATATAAAATTTATCATATATTAATTTACAACCAAAACAGAGGCATAAACGTTAAAACCGGTATTTTCCACACAAAAAGTGCTCATTTTGTTTCATCGGAGAACATAAACCACCTACTTTGATCTATTATCTTGAGGATTTTTGGAGAAAATTAAATCCTTAGTAGATTCTTTGGCCAAATCCCACGCTTCTTTGAACTGCTCTAAAACATCGTCCATTACACCACGTTCTTTACCCACATGCCAATCATCAAAATTACCCAACCTAGGCGGGGGTAGGTCTGATTTATGTTCGGATATTGTCACTCTAGATTTGGCACGCAATTGAAATGTAAAGTTTTTGGATGCGTAAGTTTCTTTATCATAGTCATCAAGTGAATCACTTCAAATAACATAAGAATTCATGTAAAGCACGAGCATATACATATATATGTAAGTACACATAATGGATGAAATATGTTGGACAGCGAAATAGCCAAGCATGAATTTACAATGAAATACAAGGAGCGGAAAGCAGAACAAAAGGATGAAACATATAAGCACACAAAGCAGAAAAAACAATGGTCCAAGGACCAAATTATACGGTAAGCATTCGCATATATACATATATAGAATTCCAAAAGAATAGGGGGAGAGAAAATAATAAGAAACAATTAGTGACACGTAGTAATAAATGACACGTTTAATACTCTAATTAGCGTGATTGTGTAACACTATATCAAAATACAGAGTAGTAAGTTAAAAGATACTTTTACCACAAAATTTACCGCCGTATGTAGTTACCCTCTGACAGTAAGTATTCGCAAAACCCTCCCCCGACCCAAACAAACAAGTAGATATAAAAGGTTTGCGCAAGCGCACAATAGTAGCCAAAGGTAAACACTTGGAGATATTTAGTGTATTTTGAAAATATTCACCTAGTACTCCTTAGTCGTCTCTAATTTATTGAAACAAATATAGAAGCGATAAAAATCTGTATGGAATAAATCACGTCTAATTTCTTAAGAGTTTTACGGATTTTATATTTCCGACTAAACGTTTCTTAGAAATTACATCTTTATTATAGCATAGAAGCCAACTAGGTATTTAAATTAATAACGTAAATACGAGGATGAACAGCGATGAATTGAATTTTAGTGGCATATATAAATAAGGACGGAAAATTTTGAGGAAAAAACGAAATTAGTGAACAATTTACCAGTAGTTAGTACATAGCTTACGAATGGTTGATATTATTTGATTACGACATAATATATCATGCACGCATCAACTGATTATATATATGATGCATGTAACTTGACATTAATTTTTGTTTAGACTAACAAAGGTAAGGATTTCGTGGAAAGAGTGAATTCATTCATCTGAGAGGAGATAGCAGCAAGTTACTTGGCATAACATCTTAATCTTAATTACTAGGGTCATAAAGCACATTGCTAACACTACTTATTATGGTATCTAACGTCTCATAAGGATTTATAGAAACCAATATTTAATCCCTCATAAATCTCATCTTATATCAATATGGATTTATTCAACCCGACCGTTGCTGCTACCTTGATGTGGTGATCGGGCTTGCATATCGTGATGAACCAATCGAGCTATGTTGGCTGGAACAATTGCTCCTCAAGGTCCTAACATGCCAGATAGGTCGGTTGAACAGCAGTAAGACTAAAAGTAGCAAAACCAAGGTCTGAGGACGATGTCGTACTGATGATTGTAAAGAAGTGTAATGGCAGTAAGGTGTTCCCTTCAGACAACCAGCATAACAGTGATGCTGTTTTCCCACAAGGAGGGGTAGGGTTAGAAAAGGTCGACCCTAAAAGTGCACACCTCGCCTTATCCCACGGATATTCGTCTCCGGCGGTAAGGTCTCAACAAGTACGGAGCTAACACAAAAATTACCCATAGAAAGGTCGTGTGTGACCGACCTCAAGCAGTTGTCGCTTGGGCACTGCGGTCACGCTCCCACATCACTAAGACCTCCTCTAATCCAATTTCCTTCTCAGGTACCTCCAGAAGAAGCCTTCCACGGTGTGGGCAACCGGGGAGTGATAACCGTCCTCATACTTCTAACAACACTCAAGATCACTGACTGATTGTATTTATTCACAAAACAAACAGTTAGTGCCGAAACACATAAGTCATTATTTAGACACTTTGTCTTCAGTGGAATTTCAAAGAGCTAGCTGCAATATTTGACAGAATATTTGGTATAACGATAACTTACGATCTTTGACCGTAATCTCCACCATTCTTATATGAAGAATAACCCCAATCTAAATCATTGGTATTTCCATAACCTGTGTAAATGTGTCGACTAGCCTTGGCCTTTTGACGTTCTTGCTGTAACTTTTCTGAGTCTTGTATGAGGTCGATTACTTCTTGAACTCTGATGCGAACTATAATATGAATGTTTTAAATTAAAACAGGTATATGGAAAAAGAGCGCTCATATACTGAACAAAGTATAACACAGCAATAGCATTAAGCACATCTGTTTTTGGAATAAAATTAACTGTTTCTTATTTTCATTCTACGAGATGTCTTCAACATACATTAGACTTTCACCACATTATGTCCATCTTTTGTCACTTAGTTGGAGGACCCTGATATTTACATGTAACCACTAAGTAATTAAACAAGTAGTGTCGCTATGTATAGACGAACGAAGAAAACATGTACTTCGTAAACTCTTCATGAAAACCGTCAAACGAGTGATGAATCAATCTGAGATCTGAACTTTTACTGTGAAAAACACTGGTTTACGAAAAAACTTTATTTATTTTGTAACTAAGTTATTTTTCCTTAATATACACAATACTGCATTATCAACCAGTTTAATTTATCTACAATTTACAGAGAATTGAAAGTCATTCATTCAATTCAGAATTGAACCTTGGCAGCAATTTGGTTTGAGAACTGTCACAGAACTAGGCCACTCATTACAACATAAGATATCCATGAAGTTTTTACAACCAATTATCTTAGGTAACATTTCAGAGAAAATAGTGACTTATTAACCCAGGATAGCATGAATGAATTAGAAACATCATAAACTATTCATGATATTTATTTTATTGGCTGTTTATATAGTTGATGTTTTCGAACTTTCAAAGGGTTTAAAACAATGTACATTTTCGTCTCTTTAGTAAGAAATTTTTAATCAACTGCAATCACATTATTTTTTTATATTACCGAGAAAACTGAAGATAAATGCAATTTGAGCGACTAATTTTTCCTCATTGTTCATATTTTAATCTTCCAAATAATTTTCAATAACATAAAGAGTACATCAAAACCATTGTTAAGGTGAGAATCTTCCAACAAAAATGATAGCAAGCACACATTATACGGAAGTGCTTAAAAACAATTGCATGGTGCCCTGGTACGGCCGAGGAGGGGAGAGTCAGCATTTCCTCTAGAAATGCCCTCTCATGGCCACATGCATACAACTACTGTTACGGAAGTCCTACTCACTACTTTCTCACGGTATCACTGTTGTTTAATTTATTTGAACATATAAATATTGGTAAAAGAGGGCACCAAATATATATGCGCCAAACAATGATGAGAATGGGAAGACTTAAAGGATGTAAGGTGCGTTTAAAAAAAACAATAATGACCACAAATTAGTGTATGATAGTGAACTAGTAATAATAATGGGGGAAACAGAAACGAATAGTCACAAGAGATCTTTCAGTTAAGGAAGATACAACCACTCTTTATGAGGGAAGTAGAAGGTAACAGCACGATCGCCACTGACTTCTATTCTGAGCCATATCTGATAACGTCTCTAGCCAATGTGTTACACCATCTCTTGTACCCCAGCCAGGGAGTCGTGAAGGACCAACAGAAGCCAGCCCTTTGCAGCTTTCTTTCATACCCCGATACTATGTCATACATTGACCACCTCTCCGCTTTCCCCAACCAGTCCCAGAGTCGGCAAATAATGCACGACGTGGAATTCTCTGGAACGACATTCGTAAAACATGTCCAAGCCACCGAAGTTGGTGTTTCCAGATGGTGACACCAATTGCATTATCGTCTCTGTGCCCGAACACACAATGCCGAACCTCTGCATTACCAACATGGTGTTACCACTAGATGTCAGCAATCCTTCGGAGACAACGATGATCGAACACAGAGAGTCGTCTAACGTCCTCAACTCGGAGAGACCAGGTTTCACAAGCATAGAACAAAACTGCTCTCACCGACGCGTTGTAGATCCGACCTTTTACAGCCAGACTAACATCAAGAAGGCGCCAAAGATGGCCCAGATTGGCATAAGCCGCTCTGGCTTTCACTATAAGTGCATTGATCTCATCACTCACGCCACCACCAGCACTTATGCAGCTACCTAGATACACGAGCCTCTCGACTACTCCTATCTGCTCACCGTCCAGAGTGAGTGCAGGATTAGAATCCTGCCAGTCTTGTAGAAGTACTTTACACTTCGAAGGTGCAAAGCACATACCATACCTACGGACACTGGTTGCCAACTGATTAAGTGCGGATTGCATGGCTTGGGCATTATCGCACAGTAAGACAATATCATCCGCATACTCAAGGTCGAGAAGTATTGCTCCAGGCAATAAATCCACACTGCCGTTACTTACATTCATCAGGGCTATTTCCGGAATGTCATCGATGGTAAAGTCGAAGAGGAATGGTGAAATTGAGCAAACCTGTCTAACCCCTCTGCTTGAGTGGAACAGTGGAGAGAGGTGGTTTTATGCCCTCTATCTGCCTGAGGTGCATGTTTATTTACTTATTGAAACACATAAACATTGGTACAAAGAGGCACCAAATAGATATACGCCACATAAATCACTCGATTTGTGTGAGGGCTGTAATACTGCCCGGGTGCCCAAACCGAAGCAGGGTTGCAACAGTTTACTGACACCAATCCGTTTAAGACGATGAGTTCGTTGGCCACTGAAAAGTAAGGTAAGATTGGCGCAAACAAGGGCATGATCAGAGTCCAGATAGGTACTCCAAAAGAAGCGGAAGTCCTGTATACAACCATGCCAGAGGTAGCTGATCGCGATGTGATCAATCTGAGTTCAGGCTTGAGATGCAGATGGAGGGCGTCAGGTGGCACATCGGTGATGACTGTGCCGGAAGTTAGTGCAAGCCAGAAACAGGTTGTGGTCTATGCACAGTTGCAGTAGACGGTTCCCGTTATCTGACCTGTGACCAACGGATTCCCATTGGTCACTCAAACGATTTTCCTTTGTGCCTAAACGCCTGATCTGTACATTCAAGTCTCCGGCTAGTACTGCAATATCTGTCGAACCTTCTTTCTGTAGAAAAACAGTTAACTGGTGGCATAACTCATCCTTTTTCCTCTATTATTGTCAATATACCTAGGTCCCTGTCTGGAGGTATTGGTGATCCACTGCAACTAGACATAGAAGCCCGTTAAGTGAAAGCTTTTTCTATTCCGTTCGTAACCATTTGAATCCTCATATTTGATCACATCCGGGGTGCAATCTGTCGAGGCATAGGCGGAGATGACGAAGAGACATCGTTTTTCACGCCGATTTCTTCTCACTTTGATGGAACTTCCTAATCTGACAGCACACAACCTACTGTTAATGGAAATCCAATCGATTAGTGCTGCTTCAACTCTAACGCTTAGTGCGACACCAACGCCAGCAAGACCAGACGAAGATGCCACAGGGTCCACGGATAATCGCACGTAAAACAAGCTTTTCGAAGCGACAGATGGAGAGCGAATTTGTAGTACTTCACTAGAGTCTTCAGTACGGGTCTCGGATAGACAACAAACGTCGACATTAAAACTTTCTAAAGACATAGGCAGCACTATCTGTTGTCCAACCTGCATAAGTGTGCGAACGTTGAAGACAGCCAGTTTGAATGGTGCACGTGGTTTCAGAAAAACTGCTTCAGTACTCATATTCGGTGGTAGCATACAATTTTCAACCAGGCAGTGACTCGAGAACGTTTAGATAGAACTGAATTTCCACCATGGGCGAGCTGATGTATAATTTGAAAAATAAGGATACATAAGGTAGGGATAAAAGAAAGCAGATAAGTGACATATTATATAAAGTAATAATAATAAATAAAGCAATGGAGCATCGTAAGGAGATGCGGTCCCATGGTAGCCGGTGACCAGCGATTCGTTCATACGTCATTTCCTCTCTCAGGATACTGGAGCCCATGTGCACCAGTGGTTTGAAATCAGGATTCCCCAACTACCCTAGGTAGACTACACGTGTCCACCAACTCGGTTAGAGCGCCGGACATTCGCTTTTAGTTCTCTCAGTTTCGTAAACAACAAACGAAACTCCGACGCTTTAACCGAGTTGGTGGACACGTACGGTCCACCTAATGGGGTTGGGAAACCCTGATTCCAAACCATGGTACATATGGGCTCCAGTATCCTGAGAGAGCAAATGGCGTATGAACGAATCGTTGGTCACCGGCTACAATCGGACTGTATCTCCTTACGATGCTCCACTGCCTTGTAGACCAGACCTTTAGGTCGAAGGCTCGCGATGTGACCCCTCAAGAAAACCACCTGCTTCAGTTTGGGCATTTAAGTAGTATCCCAGCCCTCACATAAATCATTCGATCTATGTGGCGCATATCTATTTGGTGCTTTCTTGTACCAATGTTTGCGTTTATGTAAAATAAAGGTCACTCACGGTAGCATAAGGACATACGAATTAACAGTAACATTCGTGACTAACAAATACTAAATACACGATAAGTCGTATCATTCACCAGTTTTAACAGCTTGATTGTGCTTTACTCATATTTAGAGTTCCTTCTGCAAGTTATAAAAATCTGATAATACATAAACGCGTTATGGAGTACTGAACAATCGCTTACCATTCATTCCTTGATCCTTTCCATTCTCATCAAAATACCGAAAAGATTCGAGTGTACGAATGTCGTATATATGATCTTGAGCACTTTGTAACACATAATCAGAACCATTTTTCAAAAGAAAGGTAAGGACAACCAAAGACTACAAGTAAAAAATAAAACGAAACGTTTGGACTAGTACTGAAATTTCACTGTGAAATTTTTTAATAAATTATGACAATAAATCGGAGTGGTATTGCATCATAAAGTTGTAGATCTATTAATTCCCACTATGGAAGGAACCTTAGTGGTCTGTATTGTAACACCAAAAACTATTCAAATAATAATACAGAAATACATTAAGTCAGAAAGCTGGCAGGTCAGTTAGTGTACGTTATTATGATGACAGATTGCTTAATGTGGTAGCTACTGACAGATTTCAATCTGGATATTTTGAAAATTATCACGACTCAGTGAAAAAATTCATCAAATCAACCACGCAAACAAAGACATATACAAGGATAACTTCAGCAATTATTTTTAACAAGATAAATAACCTGATCAATAAACATATATCCAATTATCACACAGAAACAAATTCACTGAGTAGTGTGAGTTAGATAGAAGATTCTATGCAAACCTTAAAACACTAGCACAAAAACAAACATATTATCCTCACTGAGTAGCCACATGCTTCTATGTGTAAGATTGTATCCAGTAAACTTATGAACCTTCACACTTAAGTAATTTCGTTACGAATTATTCACAATGTCATATCTTGATGAATCTTGACGAAAAGCCTAGTTTCAAAAACTGCGAGGATCCAAATTAAACGTTCTCTGACAATCCTACCAAAACGAGTAACCCATGTTACATATTTCAATTTCTTAATGTATCCTAGTTTAAGATTATCAACAGTGGCTTAGTGGCTAAACCATATGACTTTAAACTACTGAGTTGTAGGCTTAAGAACATGTTGCCTGCGAAAATTCCGGTAGCTGAATAGCATCACTAGGACAAAGGAAGTATAACATAATCAAACATAATGAATTATACTCGGTCATCTCATTTCCTTATCCCCCAAGTTTTGAAGAATGATAACTAAATTGTCATGAATTACCCTTACTTTCGTATGTTTATCCCAACATCATAGTATTTGACGGGCGTGAATATGAATAACGTTGATAAGAGTTGGGTTTTAAGTACAGGTTGTGAACTAATTACACATAATCGGACGACATGAAATATTGTCGCTCACTGATAAGACAAGTGGACAACACAGGTCATAATTTAGCAAGGCCAAAATTAAGTAAGGTAAGGTCAAATGACATATGAAGTGTGATAAAATTGAAATCAGCTTCAGGATTTCATTACCAACATATTTTGTTGCGTTTAGGCTTGACTATTTACTGTTTGGCTCTACAGTTTCAGTAGATTTCTATAATTTATAAGGCTAAAATGTGACAAACTTTGCAGACACCGTATCGAGATTAATGAGTAATATTGCCTACGAACTTATTTGCACACGAGAGACACCATGAACACATTTAAAAGACATAGTGATGAATGAAGCTCCCTTTTTAAATATACATGCCTTATAAACCCTCCGCCAACTCAGTCTATCTTCAGGATGCATTCTTTTCCATAAAGTTGACATGACTTCCAAGCATGTTTCATAGGTATACGTATAATCTGCCAACTTTTGTAAAAGACGACCACTTGGACAACACATATCATCATTAGTTGCTTCTCGAACCTTCATTTCCGCCTCCGTGTAATTCATCATTATATTCGTTCTTCTAAATTACTTTTGAATGAACAGAACCTACACTTTGTCAGCTAATTCCTTTCCCTTATATAATATATCCCGCAGCATGCCTCAATCTGAACATCGAAAACACCTCAGAAAGCAATTTGAATTACTGCGCTGCCAACAACTAACAGATTTTAGTATACACAAACAAATTACGAATTGCATTATCGTGCCTTGGAATACTAAACATTATGTCACCACCACTAATCTCGCTCATGAATCTGTGACAGGTTATTTAGATGTTCAATGAGTAGTGAAAAATCGATTTCATTAAAGAAAAAAATCTAAGCGTAAGAATTTGGAGTAAATCCAACGTTTTGCCCGGCATTCTGGTCCAAGATTTTTCATTTGTTGCCTACTCGAAAAGAAAATTGATAGCTGGCTGACAATTAGTTCGCTCTCAGTTTTTCGAGTGTTTTTCTATGAAGATGTCACAGGTATTCAGTGTTTGACAACGCTTTTACCAGTAACACCTTCTAATATATTTCGTTCCCACCCAGAGAAATCATAAGACAGAGTCGAGGAGATCGGAAGAGTGTATTTGGCGATTACCAATATATCGGAATTCTCTGATCTAATCTGGTTAGCGATTGTGGTTGATGTTGAGCACGTCGTTACCACACGTGATCTGGTGCGGATGCCTGACTGAGCGCCTTCAGCTAGATGAGTCCACTAAAACATATGGTCAGCATCCAAGTCGAAAACTTAGAGCTATTTATTTTGGGGATTCATTAACCGCTACAGATCACTCCCCCCCTGGTGGGGCAGTGACGTCCCTAAGACGTGGCCAGCCAGAAGTTTAAACCCAACGAGTTTGTCGTTGGTAAACACTCTTCTGATAGCTTACTAAGTGTAGCAGCGTCTGGTCGTCTTTCCTTACTATATGGGACCGAGGTACAACATAGTAAAAAAAGAAAAAATTACAACGAAAATTTCGACTCCTCGTAAACTGCATCGTTCTTTTCCAGCCGTTCTGGAAACGAAAAAAAAGTGTAAGTGCATGTCGAAATACACTCGTATGTGCGTAAAAACACATTGTCGGCGAAAAAAAGGAAAATAAACTCAAGCACACGTAATAGCATCAAAAAAATTTTTTGTTTTTGTTTTTTTTAAATAAAAATATAAATATATCAGCATATTAAAATTGTCTTTTTTTAAAAAAAATTTTATATCGTAAAAAGAAAAATCGAGATAATATAAAATGTCGAGTAGTGCCTTACGTGCAGTAGTCGTTTAAATGTTCTGGAAATCTAAGCCTTCTTTCAGAACGCGTCGTTTTAGGTATATTTTCAGATACATTCGGAGTATCATCGCTAGTGTTGGTTGTCGGTTGAGGAATTATGAGTGTAGGAGTCGTGTTGTGCGATTATGCCGAAGGAAAATCGACGTGAATAGGATTTCCTTCTAAATACGCTGCTTTTAAGCGATCGATGTTGATGCTATCGTTTGTTCCATTCTTATCGACTATATAGTACTTAGATTCACGTTAAAGAACTTTGAAGAGTCCTTCGTATGCTGATTCGAATGGTCGGCGATGTGAGTCTTGACGAACGAAAACGTGTGTACTATATCGTAAGTCAGGTTGAACGAAAACATCCGTTGATTGTGGTCGAGTGAAAACAGGTTTAACTGAACGCATTGCGTTTGTAAGCCTGTTCGTGTAGGAGGTTAGATCCATGTTCACTGAAGAGGATGAAGGATCCACGAATTCTCCTGGAAGTCGAAATGTCGTTCCATAAATGAGTTGAGCTGCAGTGTATCCAATGTCAGCTTTCACTGCATTGCGGATACCTAGTAAGACGAGTGGAAGAGCGTCGGTCCACTGTGAAACGCTTGCAGCTGATAGTGAAGCTTTTAGTTGTCGGTGAAAACGTTCTACCAACCCGTTTGCTTGTGGATGGTAGGCGGTCGTTCGGAATCGAGTGATTCCTAAAAGTGTGGTCATACGACGGAAAAGTTCAGATTCAAACTGACGTCCGCGATCTGTAGTGATGGTTGAAGGGCAGCCGAAGTTTGCTACCCATCGTTCGACGAAGGCGCGAGCCACTGTTTCAGCAGTGATGTCCTTGATGGGTACTGCTTCTGACAATCGAGTGAAACGGTCTACGCAGGTTAAGAGGTAAGCGTAACCATTTGAATCTGGTAAAGGTCCTACCAAATCCAGATGAACATGTTCGAAACGAGCATCGGGAGTTTTAAACGAACCTAAGGGACATTTATTGTGTCTGATAACCCTAAATTTTTGGCAGCTTACACAGGAGCGTGCCCACTCCCCCACGTCTTTATTCATTCCAGGCCAGCAAAATCGTTCTGCTATAAGCTTGACGGTTGCACGAACACCTGGATGAGAAAGTTTGTGCAATGTGTTGAAGACATTGCGTCGATAATGTTTCGGCACGATTGGGCGATCCCTACCTGTAGATGTGTCACAAAGTAAGGTTTCCTTACCTGTTCCCATCTGTTTGATACGTAACTTCAGGGTTGTGGACGATAGCTCGTGCTGAAGATCACTGTCTTCTTTTTGAAGCTCGGCGAGTTCAAGAAGGTCGATTCCTTGGAAACTGTTCAAGGAAGTTATACGAGATAAAGCGTCTGCAACTACACTGTTCGCTCTAGAGATGTGTTGAATATCTGAAGTAAACTGCGAAATGTAGTCCAGTTGTCGAGATTCACGGGGAGAGTACTTGTCAGAAGGAGAGCTTAACGAGAAAGTGAGCGGTTTATGGTCCGTGGAAAGAGTGAATTCATGGCCTTCGACATAGTGTTGGAAATGCCGTACAGCACAATACATAACTAGGCGTTCACTACAGAATGTGCTCTACCTTGATTCGGTGTCTAGCAATCTTTTAGAGAAAAATGCCAAGGGTTGCCAGGAGTTGTTAACCCATTGTTGTAAGACTCCTCCGATTGCTGAGTCGGATGCGTCTACTGCGATGCTAATGGATGCTTCGGTGTTCTGATGTGCGAGCATTGTTGCTTTAGCAATCAGTTCCTTAACTGTGGAGAATGCTTTTCGTGCGGTGTCGTCCAAATTAATGGATTTCGCATTTCCACGAAGTTGGTCGGTAAGAGGTTTCATAAGTAATGCGCATTTCGGTATGAAACGTCTATAGAAACTTACCAGGCCGTTAAACGTGCGTAATTGCTTGGCGGTGGTCGGTTCTGGGTAATCCAGAATGGCTGCCACTTTGGTTCTAAGAGGTCGGATACCTTGAGCATCGATAGTGTGTCCCAGAAAGTTTAATGAGTCGGTCCTAATTTGGCATTTCTGAACGTTTACAGTAAAGCCATGTTTCTGTAGTCGTTCGAAAACAAGATCCAGATGCTTGAGATGTGTTTCTCTGTCCGGACTTGCGATTAGGCAGTCGTCAACATACGCATGTACAAAGTCGAGACCTCGAAAAACGTCGTCTATGAATCTTTGGAATGTTTGAGCAGCATTCCTTAGACCGAAAGGCATTCGCAAAAATTCATAGAGTCCGAAGGGAGTTATCATAGCTGTTTTCGGTATGTCTTCAGTAGCCATAAGGATTTGGTTATACGCTTTAACCAAGTCGATTTTCGAAAAAACAGTTGTACCTTTCAAGGTAGCTGTTAAATCGTGAATGTGAGGCAACGGGTAACGATCGGGAATGGTCTTCGCGTTCAATCGCCGATAGTCACCAGTTGGACGCCAATCGTTGCTGTCCTTTCTAAGGACCATGTGCAATGGAGATGCATATGGGCTACTTGACGGTCGTATGATTCCCAAGTCTACCATATGGTCGAACTCGCTTTTCGCTAACCTTAGCTTTTCGGGAGCTAGTCGTCGTGCTTTAGAAAATACAGGTGGTCCTGTAGTCGTGATGTGATGTGTATCGTTGCTGGTTACACACGGTAGTTTCGGTTGAGTTTGTTGTATCTCAGGGTACTTATCGAGTAGTGGTTGATAGAGTGGGTCTATCCTATGCTTAATTGTGACGGGATAATTTGCAACCAGAAAAAAAAGTTACGCAAACGGACAAATTAGTGTTTCCGTCTACTAGCCTCCGTTTGCGCGTATTGATGATCAGATTATGGTGTTGCACAAGGTCCATACCAATAATTGGCATAGAAACATCTGCAACAGCGAAGATCCAGTGAATGGGTTTGCGTAAACCCACGTTAAGGTAGACGTACCTTTTGCCATACGTGGCGATCGGTTTTCCGTTTGCCGCCTGTAAGTATATGGTCGATTCGTGAAGTCGGTAGTTAGGATTTGCTGGGAGAACGCTAACTTCTGCGCCAGTGTCGACGAGGTAGCGAACTCTCGTTGTCACATCTGTGACGTATAACAGACGGCTTTGTTCGCCGGCTACGGTTGCCGTTAACGCGTTCCGGCTTGGAAGTTTCCCGAGTTGTTTTTCGAGTCAGTCGGTTTCGTGTTGGGAAAATTGCAGGGTTTTCTGCAATTTCTGGAAAACTTTCCATACTGGTTATGATACCAGCACCAGTCGGGGTTATCTGTCTCTCGTGGTCTAGAGACAGATCGCTTACGTGAAATGCTTCTACGTGGGCTGTGTGAGCGAGTACGGTCGTTACTAAGATTAAGATAACGCGTGAGTGCATGACATAACTCGGTTATGTCATTCTGAGTCGTTTGAGGCTTTTCTTTGACTGAAAATACCTCGGTAGTAGGAAGTTTCGTAATTTCTAAAGTGCGGTCGGCAGATTCAGCCAGTTCGTCTAAGGCATTGTTCTGAAACGAGACAGGAACTGCTTGCACCTGTTGGGGAAGTTTTGACAAGAAGAGTTGTTTGAATAGACCTTCGTCGAAAGTTCTTAGGCCTATAACCTCTCTCATCCGTTGCAACATGTCCGTCGCAGAACCATGTTGTAGGTCGATGTTATTGAAGAGTTGATCTAACCTTTGTCGATTGGTTAGGTCACCTAGTTTAAGAATCGAACGTTTCAAGATTTCGTAAGGTTCGGAAACATCCCTAGTAAACATACTAGGTGTTACGTACCTGTTGAATTCCCGCGTTAATGCCTTGACTACTGCGAGGAATTGTGCACGTGTGTCGATCACGCCGTGCTCGTGGAAGTCGGCTTCTGCGTAGCAGAACCAGGCTTCGATATTGTCGAGCCAGAAAGGCATGAGTTGAAACGAAAGCGGGGACAAAGTCTTAAG